GAGCAACCAGCCCCCTTCAACATCTCTCATAATGTGTTCTACGCTGTTGAAAGCTAGATCCACATGAGGTGTGTGATGCATAGCTAAAAAAATGACAGTCACACTATCTGAATGACTAAACAAATACAGCTAACGGACCGAACCCCCACCAATAACTAAGATTGCTCGGGGTTGGATATATCTATCAAATGCTGATTAAGTGTGGAGAATATAGGTTGTTTAAGAAGAGAGAATCGTTGGTTCCTTATAGTCATTTCTTGCTCTTTTCTATCGTGACAACTCTTATTCCCCACCTTTTAGCGTTCTGGGGCCCTATTATAATAATTATAGTGCCCTTTCTTCCATCTCCGAAGGATGGGGGGGTATACAGTGAAAGAATCGTCGACTGCTCGGTGACCGAATCCGAGAGTTTTTTACCGCTTTCTCTTCTCTCCAGCACTCTCGGACTGATCATCTTGCTGCAACAAAGCAAGCTTAGGAATGAATCTAATGGAAATTTAGGTCCTTTGATTTTAGGCCGCTTGGAAGATTTTTTTTGATTTCCTCTTCCTTCGGTGAAAGAGGGCAAAGGTGTGTGGGAGAAATCATTCTAAAAGGAGAGAAGATTTCGTCCACCAAGCGGGACAGAGTGCGACCCCTAAGCAATTGGGGGTTCTCGCTCATCTCTTGGGGTCCATATCATCTGAAAACTTTTCCTGTTCCATTAGCATAGCTAAATTGGAATAGGATGACTCAGCGTCAGGAAAAGTAAGCCCCCTTGCCTTGATTGAATTTGGCTTCGCTGCGCCCTGAATCAATCAATAAGCTTATTGATTTGATTCATCCCATTTCATTTGGGCGAGAGGGAGGCTGTGGAGGAGTCACCTGGCTGCGGATTTGTCGGTTGGTTGATTCTCGAAATCACCTCTTGAAAAAAAAGGCCCTCGGGTCCCGAAAAATGAATAGAAAGCGAGGCGAGGGTCTTTCATTAAAGAAGGGGGAGAGATAAAAGAGGGGTGGGCTTTGTTCTGGGGGGGCCGCCTTGCGCAGCTTTGGAAAGGAGAGAATTTCAGAAAGTCACTCTCTCCAACCTAAACTATCTATCCTTAGAAGTAGGGCGAGAGAAAGTCAATATGGTATTTGCGTTGGTTTTTCCAACGAAACTAAGCACTTTTTTTCTTTATCATTCGGAAGGCTAGTCCCACACTCTGACTTCAATGATGGGAACAACCTCCGCACTCCGGCGCTCCAATGAACAACAGTTCCCCGCCTTACTATATTTAGAATAGTGGTCGATCCCTCGGGAGTTACATTCGTAACTTAATGTTATGTTCACGCGGTGATATTCTATCTTTCCAAAAGTACTACCCTGTACGTAGTCTATGTCTGGGGGGCATACTTGACAAGAGATAGACACAGGCGGTAGAGAGGTCCCCCACTTCGATTCCCCCCCGTTAGCATCTCCGATCCGAGATAAGGGATTACCCCGTTAGGTCTTTTCGGTTCGGAGTCGGCCGGTAATGGACCTACTTACCTTGCTTGTACTAGCTGCAGAGCTAACCCTTGTTCTATTGTTCTATTGGTTTGGTGCTACCAAGATGATTTCTTTATGCCCATTAAAGGACCTCGAGATGCTAATCCATGAAAAACGATACGAGAAATTCGAAAGAACTCATATACGGAACGAGGGCGACCCGTGAAAATACATCGGTTTCTTACTCGCGCAAAGGAACTATTTCTTGGCAACTTGGACAACTTATAACGATGTTTGTCCTACATATCACTAGGAAGATCGGGATCATTACAAAAGGCTTTATAAAGCTTTCGTCTCAATTCATATTTAGCCACGAGCAATCTACGTTTGTGATCTCGTATATTTTGCTTCTCCGACATCTTATTGAGTTTCCCCCTCATCTTTTGCAAAAAGCCGCTCCACGGTAGTAAAGTCTCATCTTGTGTGTTGCCCGAAGTGACAATAGTCACATTGAACCCTCGAATATGTTCGAAGATCTCGAAATGCTCTTCCAGTTCCGGGGAGAATTCACAAAACTCCGTTTCCATCAAGAATTGAATGGAGTTTTCCCGTATTTCGGAGAATCTAACAGAGACATTACTGTGGAGATTCTAACCAAAAAATGAGACATTCCATGCCCTCGGAGAGTGCTTTGTCATGCTAGGTCACTGACATATCCTTTTTGTCTTTATTTGACCCCAAGAATGGATTGGATCGAAACGACTTTCCTGTCGAAGCCCTTTCTGTCTGTATGAATTTCTGACCACGCGGAATCTCCATAGCCAATTTTCCATTTTTGATTATGAAATCAGAAGGTGCTGCCTTTGGTACTACTCTTATTTTACACGATCCAGGAACTTCCATAACGTTGGCGTGATTCGGTTTGAGCAACGAATCCTGACGTGATACATCTTCGTAATGAAAATGGAGTGGAAACATGAGTTGGCTTTTCTAGTATCTATAGAATGAGCACTGTGAACTATCTGCTTCAAAAAGATAGTTTTACGAATGAAACTTCAACCTTCGATCGGAATACGGATGAGATCAGAAAGGCCATCATTGGGGCAAACAATGCAATAGCTTCGGTTAGAGCAAAGCCCAAAATGGCATAACCAAATGATTGTTTAGCCAATGATGGATTTCACACCACGGAATGAATCAAGGAACTAAGGACGTTTCCAATACCGATAGCAGCTCCCGCTGAAGCAATTGTAGCAGCTCCGACACCCATTCATTTTGCACCTTCTAACATCTCGAGTTGAGAATTCTCGTCACGCTTTTTCATTCACGATTTTATGTTATAGATTCCTCGTCGATTCTTCCCCTCGTTCCTTTTCTCTTTGGCATCTCACTTGGAATGCAATGCATTCTTTTCAATCTTGTACCCCCTATTTGAGAAAGCTTTTACTGGCTTTCCGGTAAGTGCGGTACACTGAACACTAAATTCATCTGAAAATGACAAGCAACTACATCAACAACCTCTATTCCTGACGTGAACGACTGCTTTCTTGGAACTAATTCATAGGGGGCTTAGTCAACTAACTATATATATAAACAAATATAACATGCAATATTTATAAACATTTCAACCAAACTCTTTGTTTGCGAAGGCCGAAGGAAAATGCGTTCTTGAGTCAACAAGCTTTCTCCTCTTTGTGACCCTTAGAAAGACTTTTTCAGCAACCCGATTCATCATGGAATTCAATGAAAGCATTGAAGCCCTTGCTTTGGTGGAACCAAAATGGGATGGGGACTCCTTCACGTGGTCTAACAAAGAGTTCGGCCGAAGAAGAATAGCTCGCAAGTTAGATAGAATTCTGGTTAACCATGAGATTGTTACTCTCTTCTCTGAAGCTAAAGTTATTACTGGTACTAATGGACTCTCTGACCATGCCCCAGGCATTATTCAGTTGAATCACTCAGTGCAGCACAACCATAAACCTTAAAGGTTTATTAATGCGTAGTCTAACCGAATTTCTCCGAACTGTGGAACAAGCATGGAATATCCGAGTTGAGGCCAACCCCATGTTCCAAGTGGTCCAAAAGCTTAAAGCGGTCAAAGAGGCGCAAAAAAGTTAGAACGTTACCACCTTTGGCAAAATAGATGAAAGAATCAAAGTCCTTAAAGATAAGCTGTACGAGATCCAAACCATTCTTGCGAAGGACCAAGGAAATGAGCAAGCAGCGATGGATGAAACTCGAAAACTATATGAACTTAATGCAATGCTTGATGCGGAGGAGTCTCTTATGAGACAAAAGATCGGGTCCTGTGCTTGAAAAATGGAGATAGAAAGACAAGAACTATATGAGCAGCCTTACCCGAAAGAAGAGCCCGAAAGACTTTGCGTTCCATTAAAGATGATAACGGCCACATGGAACATGGGGAGACTAGCATCAAGGCTACTGTAGTTGATCATTTCTTTGGGACAGATCAGATCTTGCAATGTGAACAGCCATTTTCAGTTTGAGAGAGTCCTTACTGAGGATCAGTAGCTAGGATTAATTCGACAGGTCACGGCAGATGAAATCGAGAAGGTTGTGCTGAATTTTAACTCAGATAAAGCCCCGGGTCTGGATGGATTCAATCCATTCAGTCCTGGGGCTTTATCTGAGTGCAAAATTCAACACAACCTTCTCGAAGTCGAAAGTTGTTAAAACAGGTCAACTTAACTTTTTTGAGCTGATCCCTAAGGTGGATAACCCGGGGCTCTTTGAGGGGTTCAGACCTATTTCATTGTGCAACATGCTCGTAAAGAAAATCTCGATAATTTTGGCGAATCGACTTAGGGAAGTGCTTGATGAGTTGGTGGGTCCCCATCAGTCGGCTTTCATTAAAGGCAGGAACATCAGTGAAAACATTCTTCTGGCTCATAAGCTAGTCCGTCACTTTCATAGAGACAAAGGAACTCCTGAATTTTGCGCCAAGTTAGATATTCGCAAGGCGTACGACTCCGTTTCTTGGGATGCTGTCCTCAATACCCTTGAATCCTTGAAGTTTCCTAAAATTTAAGTAAGATGGATTAGAGAATGTATCTCCATAGTGTCCTTTGCAGTTATGATTAACGGATCTCCATCTAGCTTCTTCAGGGGGGCTGCGGTTTGAGACAGGTCTCTTAGAGCCTATCTTTTCACCCGAAAATATTCAGCCAGCTTTTTAATAGGGGAGTAAACAACAACCTGATCACCTATTCAAGAAGATTTCATAAACTTTATCTTTCTCATATAATATATGCTGATGATGTACTCATTTTCGCAGATAGCTCCGTGCGTAATGCCTTGGCCATCAACCAGAATGAGTTTCACAGTTGGGCAGGTCTTGGGATTAAGAAAGCCAAATGTTCCTTATCATTCTCGGCCACTAGTTATAGGATCAAACAAAAAATCATTCGTACTCTTGTATAACTTAGATGGGGAGGTGCAGCTCCCTCTCAAATACTGGGGACTGCCCTAGTCTCTACTAGATTAGACACTCCGACTGTCTCCTCCTCTTGGACAAGTTCAATCACCGAATTAGCAATTGGAAAGGAAGGCGGCTGTCATATGCCGAAAGAATGGAGCTCATCTCCTTAGTGGTTGCAAGCCTTCACATCTATTGATTGTCCGCTTCTAGGCTTCCGGAGAAGGAAATCCATTTCATTGAGCATTCGAAATTTCTTTTGGTCAGGCCCCGAACCCACCTATAAGATCCATACGATCAACTGGTCCAATGTAAACTGAAGGATGAAGGTGGATTGGGTTTAAGAACTATTGAGGGCTAGAATAGGACTGCCATGTTAAAGCTTTTCTTGAGAATAGTTAATGATAATGGGTCCATTTGGACTAAATGGGTTCATTTTAGATATCTCAGGAGACATTCTATTTGGGTGGCTAATGCTATTATCAAGTTTCAGATTTGTAATGGCAAAAGCACGAAGCTGTGGCATTGCCTTAGTCTTAAATAGGGCTTAGAAATGGCCCGATCAGCTACAGGTACGAGGTCACTGTTTTAATGGAAACAGGTCTCCCAGACCATGCTCTAGTAAGCGATTTCATCCAAAATGGGTATTGGAACCTTCCTCCTAACTGCAGAATGGCTGGACAGTGTCTAATGCAAGAGATTGCCCTATGTGAACTCCCGCAGCTCCCTGTTGAAGACAGGTTGGTCTCTCAGCCCGGATGGAAATGGAAACTCCAAAATAGCCTGGAACCTCATTAGGCAGACCCATCCTAAGGTCGACTATGCAGGCATCATTTGGAACAAATTCAATATCTCCAAGCACAGTATTATCGCCTGGATGGCCCTCAACTCTTGGCTTCTTACAACAGATCGAGTTAGCAGATTTTATCCCAACATCGTGACTCTTTGTGGCCTGTGCATGCTTGAAGATGAAAGTGCCGAACATCTATGTTTTCAGTGCAGTTATGCAGGGTGGATTTGGGCTCAGCTCTGTTCTAAATTTGGATATGATCAGCCTGCAACCAACATTCATGATGTTTGCCGATGGATTTATGAAATCAAAACTAAGAATTCGGCCTTTACTGGCCTGATCCTAAAGCTCTCCTTTACAGCAGTCATACACTATGTTTGGCGTGAGATAAATTCCAAGCGCCATGAAGGGAATCCAAGCAGTAAGCAGAACGTCGGTTTAGAAAATTGTAAGGGAAGTCAAATTGAAACTGCATTCGGTTTCCTATCTGATGAAACTCAGAGTTATTTAATTTTTTTTTCACTCAGTTTTGGAGAGTGCATGGTCACCCTGCTCAGCCATCTATGGCTGAATGTTACTCTTCTTCAAACCCTCTGAAAAGAAAAGTGAACACAGACGGTTCAGTAGCAATAGAGGCTACTGCGGCTGCGATAGCAAGGGACTTTATCGGCCATCCTCTTTGGGCTTTTCGGAAGACGGTTGAGTGGACAGAGATTTGGAAGGTGGAACTTTATGCAATCTACCATACATACGGTGGAGATGGCTTCACGAATGGGCATTCGGAACCTTTGTGTAGAGTCTAACTCATTATATGCAGTCAAGATGATTAACTCCCAATACAAGCCCCATTGGGAAGCACAAAATATGCTGCTGAGCTTCACTGAAAATGCAAGAGCCTTACAGTCTTTTAGAGTCACCCATTGTTGGAGGGAGAGCAATAGAGCCGCCGACTTTATTACGGGATGTCGAAAGGGAATATTCGAGTTGAGGGCAACCCCTAGTGATTAACTTGCCTTAGCCTACATCTATCTAATAAGAGTCCTTACCCTGCATTCATCAATATCAATAAAAGTAACAGGCGTGAAGGTTTAGTATACTCACTTCTAGTTACCGCACAACGTCCTATCTTCATTCCCTTGGAACTATGTATTGCAATTGGCAGATCACAGAAGGAAGTCAATAGCATACTAGAGTAGAGGGTAGGGGGGAAGGAATTGATTTAGCAATATAGCTAAACCACTAATTCTCTATAATAGGTGCCTATCTCTTTTCTTTTGTTACAGAATTCAAAAGTAAGGCATGAAAGATCAGAGAAAAAGGAATCAGTCTTAGAAGTTCATAGACGGTTAAATGCAGTCCTCGAAGAATAACTAGGAGATAAAGAACTAGGAAGAAATAACTCTAACAACAGGGAAAGAGAACTCCTAAGAGTAAGAGCAGCCCTTCATGTAGGAAGGTGTAGGAGCGAAGCCACTCTTGCCCTTTCTTCCACTAGTCTTAGAGTGGAAAGAGTCACCGAGAAAAGGCATGAAGGGGCTTACCAATAATAAAGATAAGGCATGAATGAAGGAGGTTACTAAGGAATGAAGGAGCCTAGTCTATTTGAGGCGGGATGCCCAAGAATAGAAGTAGCCATATGCCGAAAATCATCCTCTGTGATGTCAGGGAGAAATCGTCTGCTCACTTGCGACAAGAGGGCATTCTCTACCATTGATTCTAGCACAACCGATTCGATGTCAAAGGACAAAGGAAAGGCGACAAAAGCTCTTATTCCAACAAGCCCAAAAAAGAAAGAGGAGAAATTGGCTTCATTCTTACCGATGATATTACCAGTTATTCCGAGAACAGCTTATGATATCACCCTCGGGTCACTCCCTAATGAGTGAAATCCATTCCTTTAGCATAGCAAGGCTATGTGGTCTTCTCTTCCCACAACTGATTCTATACCAGTCTCCTATCCAACAGCGCTTACTCTTGAACCGGTTACTTTCGTTGCAGTTATTGCATCAAGCACGGGTTACGAAAGCAAGGGCGTTAAGGCTTTTCGAGCCTAAGGACTCTTTTCTCGGTGGTACTAGAATATGCATGTAAGGAGCGCATTCACGTGCACTAGCTTTCCTAGCTTGGGGGAGTATTGAAGTAAGCTATCCCACTAATGCAATTCGATGCTTCCTGTGTCGAAGGAAAGTATGGTTAATCAGTCGAAGACTCCCTCAAAGCCCCTTCTCGAGACACTCTTTCTTAGTCCCTTTGCCTTCTCCTTTTCAATGCCATCTCTTATTTCCCCTTAGATGTCACTTCCTCTATCAAATCAAAGAGCGGCTATTCACCATCAGGAAAGACAGTAAGCCAAGGAAAGTAAGAACTTCACTTCTAAGCTGGTATAAGGGATTCAAAACCAAAAGCACTAGGAAGAGAATGCAAGTTGGGAAGGATTAACCTGATTGATTGACCTAAGGAAAGCAAGGAACTTCTAACCCTAAGGCTTATGGAATTGATGCTTTCAAGCGCTAGGCCCCTTTTGAAAAAGGAATTGATAGAGGTTGGATCAATATCAATAGTTCAGATTGCCACGAATGGGATTGATGCATAGGCTGCAAGGAAGGGAATGCACAATTATGACCAACAGGCTTCGACGAATGCCTTTCTTTCGAGAAGATGCTTTGAAGGAGAAGGCAAGCAACTGGCATAGTTAATGTACGAGGAGGATTCTATCCTATTAGAATGAAGCAGGAATCATCCAAAGCATAAAGCCCACACCACATGGATTCCTACGAAAGAGGGTGTGTAGCCGAAGAGATTGTGCACAAAGAATAAAAATGCCATTGGTTCAAAAGCTATCCACTGGATATGAAAGATATCCCCGAAGAGGATTGATGCCGAGACTAGATTCAAAACTAGGGAAGGTCGAAGGTGCTTTGATGGAATTACTAGTCCAAGCCCAATTGAATCAATAGATGCGGGATTACCGGTCTTAGGAAGAGCAGTGGGCAAATCCCCTAGTCTGGAAGCGAATGGCTTGTTTGCAAGGGGAATCATAGGCTTTAGATTTGACAGTAGGGATGCCGCAGAAGTCACTTCGGGGCGATAGGGAGTATAATCAGTCCACGTGCAGAGATTGTGAGGGAGGTTTGGATAGGACACTGAAAGCTTAGTAAGGGCAGGAACTAAGATGCCCATTTTCTAAGAAGGAACTGCACCTCTTAATCCATTAAGATATCCACGGGGAGGCAAGCTACTATACTATAGGGTGTGAGGGAGAATTCAGCCCCTGCTTGAGAAGAAGCTGTGGCACTTATGTTCTCGAATGTGGGACTTGCGAAGATAGGTTTTGAGGGAGGGTTCCTCGGATGATTGCTTCTATCAACTGTTCTTCTCCATGTTGACTGGGGAAGCCTCTCAATGTGCAACCTAACTTTGCTCAGCTAGTGCTACTCTACTCTTTCTTTTGGCCTGATCTCGTAAAGAAAGGAAGGCTCATGAATGACCAATCCCGGGAGGAAGACCATTATTCTGCTTCTGTTTGGTCGTACTAGGCCATTAAGGTCTCATTACTGACTATGTTCATCTTTGTATCCCCAAGGAAATCCCATGCATTGAGATAGCAGGTTGGATCATCATCAAACACAGGAATGGGTGCTTAATCAATGGAATGTTTGCTTTTTTCTGTCTTCCAGTCCATTGCTTATCAAATCTCAATCTTAGGTTGAGGTCGAAACAAGGGATCATATCAACCTATTGAATCCAGTATTTATGAACCATTTTCAATCAAAGAGGGGAATAGATCTCAATCGAGAGGGTGAGCTGCGGGCTCATGCCACTCACCTTCACCAAATGAAGAAAAGACAGGTTCTAGGGGTCCTTCTCAGGCATGTGATTCAGGCTCGTCAGGTGGTGGGACATGAAAAAGTATAGAGCAGAGAGCCCAGGAAGAGGAGCTGCAAGAGAGACAAAGGCTTTCCAGTCCTTTCCTTTGACAGCGACTTAGAATGCCCTTTGGAGACCATAAGGACCCACAAAGAAAGCCCCTCAGGCACCCAGGAAGACCGAATTACTTATATATAAGGCAAAACTTTACCCCTGGCACCTCGGGCGATACTTATAACACACTTCAGTCGGGGATAACCCATCCTTGTACGGAGGGAACCCCAAAAGGGGCCCCAAACCACCGGACAACGAGGGCTCACTACCTTCACTTAGGATGCACTGCACTCACTTTGGGAAAGAATTGGTCCAGATAGCGCTCCGTACCCATAATACATTCTTATGCAGGCAGCACTAAGCTATCGGCTAAGTCAGCTACGGAACAGAAGGGCGCCTAAGAAAGTCATAACACTAATAGGGCTAAGGTCCGCCCTTTGAATATGAGCTCTCCTGTGAGATGAGCTAAAATCATTCTCCAACCAGCGGTCAGGCCTAATATCAAAGGCATCAGCCGCAGCAGAAGCTAAGTTCTATCATTCATCCGAGGGTTCTTATCTTTAGTGTTATACTCGCCTTCCCATCGACATTCTGTGTAGGATTTCCATCTTAGTAGCCAAATGCTATCTTTGCCTATCAGACTATGCAGACGCAAGAACTAAATTCTGACTTTGATTATTAAATACAGTTATGGAGTTTCCCTGCCTAACCTACTAGATGGAGTAGTGCCCTATTATGCGCGATAACATGAAAATGAAATAAATAAGTACGAGAATAGTTCGCTCATTCTCTGCTCTTTCTTTGACTCTTTTTGAGTGAGTCCGCCCACGAGTTTGTGGTTCCAATAGGCAACTTGGCATACCAATTGAATGCAGTCTCGCGGAGAGCGGGATCCCTTCTAGAAATGTTTAGCCAAGTAGCTGCTAAGAAAGAAATCAGTTCGCTTTTTGGCTGTCACATCTGTATTCGGCCAATCAGATTCTAGTAAGACTTGGTGTAACCGAAGATAGAGTGATTCGACTGTGTTGGATGCTAGTAAGGGATACAGGGGAAGCTGAGGTGGAGTAAAAGTGAGGCGTCCCTTTTCTTTCGGTCAAGTTTGAAGGTCGGCCAACATTCAATTCAACCAAAGATCATAAATAAACATCAAGTCGGAAACCAATTATTTATCTAAGCAGGGCTACGCTTCAAATGAAATGTTGTAAGCCGTTCTCGATCTATTCTATCAGCTAAGACTGATCGAAGGCCTTACCGTCCGTCAGACCTGATGATACAGGTCACCGACACCTCTAGTTAAGCTGTCTCAATGCGTTTTGGCTCATCCAAAATAAAATATCATACCCGTAAAGAAGCTATTCTGCTCCTAATAAGCTCAAAAAGAGAGAAGAAAGATAGAAGCAGACCTGACTTAAGTATTAGGGCAAATCCAATTTCAGTAAGACATGGGTGCTCCCCTTCCGTCAATCTGATCTACTTATCAAGATGGATCCATATGCAATTTCCTTTGCATAAGTGGTAGGCTCTTTGACCACATAAGGAGTTTGGGTCGGCATTCAATAACTGAACGAATACACATACATATAGCCCGAGGCCTCGACCGAGTTCCTTCTAATCTTGGGAAAAGAGAGTTTGGGTAGTTGCTTATTTTAGGGCTCCTCGCCTGCCCCTACCTCTCGGCAAACTTTGACTTCCAAATTCCTCTACACTAAGAAGATCACCTATCTATGAAGAATACCGACATCAAGATCAAGGCCGAAAGAAGAAAGATGAAGGACCGTGCGACAGCCCTTGCTAAAAGATGACCTTTCGCAATTGATAGAATGAGGCGACCGGCGGGCAATAACGGTAAGGGACGAAGGTCTTGCGCGAAAGCTACTTGGCGCGATGCGACCTCAGTTCGGTGGTTGAACTTCCGCCACATATATAATGTTGTCCATCTAGGAATAGACTGCAGTAAACTTCCCTGATGTGACCTTAAATTCCAACCTTCACAACAGATTAGCGCGGTTGAGTCTAAATCAAATTTTGAATGGAATTGGAATTTTTACATTCAACTACAGCAACTATTATTAGGAAGATCGGAGGAAGAAGGAAGTAACTGGAATCACTGGTATTGCATTTGATTATCCAGTTTTTCATTCTCGATGATAAAAGACCTTCCCTCTATTTACCTTCATCCATCAAGGTTCATACAAAAAGAGGATGATCCATGAAACTTGCTTGTCACAAGGTATAGTCTCGGAGCAATCTGGGACTAGATTGGAAGCCAAAACTAGTAAGTCGAATTCAACAAATGCACGGTCAGTAGCCGGTTATAAATCCAATTGGTGGGGTAGGGGCTTAGTATGAAACCAAACTTTTGGACATTTTCCCTTCACCTGCATGTACGTAAGGCGAAGAATCCATCCCTCTAGAGGAAAACATAATGAAAAAGCAGACAAATAGTCAGCCCGCTGGCGAGATTTTGACATGCGATCATAGAAAGAAATGCCGGGTGAGATAGGACTTTCGGTCCGTTGTTGTGACTGGAAGAATTGATTCAGCTTCAACTGGTAATCGTTCTCCCACTACTAATGGAAGAATAACCTTGACAGCCTTCCTTTCCTTTCGTTTCGAAAATCTTCTTCATGGTCGGAGAAGGGGGCATTAGTCTTAGAATGAACCCGTTCTCTATGAACCGGACTCCTCTTCTCCCTAGACCCTTGCCGGCTCGTTACTACTACTTCACCTTCTTCCTACCCCACCCTCCTACTCCTTTCCAAATGACAACTACAACTAGGCCGATTGCCGATAACAAATAAATAAATAGGCGGGGGTAGGGTTGTTAGGCTAGACCTAGATTAAGATCAACCTTCTCTCACCTTTCAGTACAAGGAAGGTGTCCATCCATGGGGCAAACAATCTGAATATCCTGGGGTGGCTTCGGTTAGAGCAAATCCCAAAATTGCGTATCCGAATGATTGTTTAGCCAATAATCGATTTTGCGCTACAGAATGGATCAAAGAACTTAATACATTTCCAATGCCGACGGCGGCTCCTGCTAAAGCAATTGTTGCTGCTCCAGCTCCTATTGATTTAGTTCCCTATAACATCTCGAGTTACGAACCCTCGTCAAGCTTTATTATGAGTGGCACGCCCATGCCGTACATATTGGCCCCGTAATAAGAATTGTGTTGTAGTTCGTCTGAGGACATCTCTAAGGACCAGGTTGCATAGTCCCCTAGGTTGGGGTCCTCGCTTCTCCAGACATTGACTATGTTAATGTTCTGTTCCTGGTTTAATAGCTGCTTTTGCCACGTGATGCTTTCGTTCTCTTCTGGGCTCAACCTAGTCTCTACTTTACTTTACTTTAGTGTTGGTTTTCTTTTTTTTTGAACAGGTTGTATGTTCTTCTCCCTTCGTTTTGGTTCTTTTCCTCTTCTTTTTGGAGATGAGGTTTCTTCAACGGTATTATTTCAAAGTCCAACATTGAGAGAGAAGTTAGCTATTTTTCGTCTATTTCTTGGAACCTGTAGCTTTGCCAATCTCTCCTCATATTGAATAAGATTGCCAATCGATTGTATTGCTTATTTTCGATTTGTTTTACTAATCTTACTGGCTTACACTCAAGGCACTGCCCGTTCTTGGTGTAAAAAAAGCCTTTTAAATCATAGGCATCAGTAAAATCAGTTTCTGAAGTCTTTCTATCCAGGGCGAACCCCCTAGATTAGGGATTTGTGCATCTTTTTTTTTTCTATGCTGATGCCCTATGATTTAAGGGGTCCTGTACCTTCTTCTTCTTCTTCTTTCTCTGGTTCACGTTATCTCGTAGTTTTTATTTATATAGTAGATATACATGGTGCTTTTTTCTTTGTGCCAAATCTTAAGTTTTTGATGTTTTTTGAACCTTTCACTGCTTTTGGAGAAACCCATAACATTTTTCAGAAGTGATGGTGGTTGAGAGTTTACTTCTAACAGCTTTAATGAGTATTGTGTGCTTCATGGAATTCAACAAAAAGAAATGTAAACCTTTTTGCTAGTAACAACTCCTCAAGTTGGAGGGAATCCTCCTTTAGCTTGAATGTTCTTTTGGAATCATCCTCCACCACAAAAATGCTCAATCAGGCTTTCCAATTATAGAGCGAAAAATGCGAACTTAGAAGATTCTCACGTATTCGTGATCTAGAAGCCCACCTAGCTCATGGACTACCACCACAGCTGAACCCTGGTGAATATGAACACTTAGTTAGAGGTTTATTCGAGAATTCAATTAACGTTCATCATTACCAACAGGTCCTAAGTCAGGAATTGTTCGACATAAAAATGATGGAAATGAAGAGTACAAAATTGACTGTTTACATTTATGATTGCCGAACCCAGACTGGAATCTATTTTTGATCAATCTCCTTACACCAATATTCGCGCGGAAGCATATGACTTTCTCGAAGATTCGGGTAGGGTCGACACACTTTCACTTTCAAAGGAATATCTCTTGGAAGGAACTCTAAACCAATATCTTACCGATGTCCAACAGCACCAACCTTCGGTTGGTGCCTCAATCTTCTCTTCTTTATGAAAAGCCCAGTGAATTGATCGACTGTTGGTCATGTTCTTCGTTTGTGATTAGTAGTTTCTACCCCGATTAACTAATTGGTGGGCTCGTTGCAAGAAAAGGTAGTTGAATGAATAGGCGAAGAATGTTATGAGGTGCATGTGGTGATGAAGAAAGTTGGCCAAGATAAAGAGTAAGCACCAAAGCAAAAGGTACGCCATTATATATTAGATGGGGGATGGCCAGAGTATAACCTATTCGCATATGCGGTGCTCTCTCTTATAGGAAGAAAAGGGCCATGAAGAGATCTTGTGGGTTAGCCAATCTAGGGGGCTGCAGGTACTATAACGGGCTAAGGAGATTCATGGAAAAAGGGGTACGATCCCACTTTCCATTAGAGCCCAGCACTAAGAGGGTCCTGGTTAAATCCTATATGATATAAGGTAATGTGCGAATGGTACCATTTTGAATAAAGGGCGAGGTTACTATATCATAGCTCGACTGCAGGGAGAGGGTCTGAAGGAGAGCTCCCTTGGCCCTTGATCCTAACCCTCGGGGACGAAGGAGTATCCATATATACTATGATATTTATATGTTCCGGCAACATGATCATCAAAGGTGATCCCCTCATGCTTGCTCACAGCGTGGGAACAAATGGTCCATTTCAAATCCCCTACACGATTAGAGAGGAAGAATCCACATTTGTCCATGGGTTTCCTAAAGAGGATCTTGGTTCACTGGCATAAGACTCGACTTGATACCAGAAGCGATTTCGAACATCACTATAAACCCGGATACGGTCAAACTGCAGTAAGTAGTTCGATAGGAAGACAATTTGGGTAAGGGGAAGTGCATGAATGCTTAGATTTCAAAAATTCTAGGTGAGGAAGGTAAGGGGTTCCATTAGAGGGGGCACATTCAGCCTAGTAATATTTATATAACCGGTCAAAGAAGAAGATCTGCGCTAACCTCCCCAACCTAGTAAATAAGGGGGCTTGTTGGTTTTCCAAGGCCCGCACCAGCTCTCAGTTAGGCGTGACTCAATACCAGGAGACAAGAAAGACGACCCATAAAGAGTGCACTATACGGTTTCAAGGAGACTCTCGGTCAGACCTAATATCTCTCTCTACACCACAGTCTAGGAGGAAATAGAAATTGGAGTGCTTTCTAAAAAGCCGGGATGAAGTTTGTTCAAAGAAGTCAGAGATTCGACGGGGCTAATGAATTTTCAGTGCGGAAGCTGGGAAGTTCGAAAAAACTTGACTTTAATGGTATGATGAATGCTTTCCTCAACAAGGGAATACTATAACTAAAGAGTATTTGCGTCTTATACACTTCATTTGTTCTCCCCTTAGCCCCTAAGCGCTGGCTTCACTCCACTTTCAGATAGTTCTTTGCGCATAAGAATAAGAAGAATCATTAAGGAAATGGTACGGGCAGGAGATCTATTTCAGAAAGAGATTAACTGATTGCTTTAGTCACCTTATAACGCTCAGCCTCGCTCCTATCATCTCAGAAATCTAGGATTCCTTGCTTTCGTCTTTTGGTACAAATAGCAGATGAGAGAGCCCTTTCGCATGCCTGCTATGATACAGTAAGAATGAAGTACTCTATTCGGGGAAAGACTAGATATGTCCCATACGAGACGCTATAAACTATTTAAGTCTGGTAGCTTAGCTCTTGAAGGGCGAAGCACATAATGGAATAGTATGAAGAGTTATTTATTCTATTTGATCCCCCCTACCCTTCTCATTCCGTAGGTGGATCCCAAAGTCGGGTGTTGGTTCTATAAAATCAAAGTCGGCATCTGGTTTCAAGGATAAACATAGATTAGACCGCCCCTCTTTTTACTGTCAGGTGAGATAAGTTGCCCCCACTCCACGGGTTCTATGAGTCAAGTCTATGGGTAGGAAAGAACAGAATGGTCTTCCTCTGAAATGACATACCCCTAAAAAGGTTTCCACCAAAAATGTATGGGTAGAACCCCCCAGCCGGTTAGCTGCCTCTGCTGTTCTTTCAGCTCCAAAAGTTAGTTTTCTTTGCTTTGAGGCTGATTTAAAGCATTCGTCTCAGTCTTTCCAGCAGAGACAATCCTTGCTCAGAAGCTTTTTTAGCGTGTCTAAAGGCCGGGTCCACCCTGACGTGAGACACTCGAAAAGGACTTCACCAGCGTTTGTGATATAGATGTTGTTATGCAAATGGAACCGTTTGGGTGTCGGTGAAGAGGAAGACCAGCCCTCGGACCCTTACTTTCAGATGTGTGGTTTCAGCATACTGATAGAAAGAGCAATGAATGGAAGCTGACCCCTTCCCTCGACAAGTTCAGTTGTCTGGTCTATAACATTCATAGTTGGACTACTCTACCTACACGGGAATAGAGGACTCGGTCATAATTGGACTCTACCTACACAGGAACAAGTTCCATACAATCATATTTGGGTAGGGTTTCCGCCATAACTGGCTTTACTAAATGGATTCGATCCCACCTCGCTGTGCCCTCAGCTCTTCCTCAAGTGGTAGTACCCTTCCTCTTTCGTTGCCCTTACCATCACATACATTTTGGATAAAAACTGAAGAACAGGTTTCGCCAGCCTTGCTCCATCAACTAGAGTTGGGTATCTACCTTCTTTGTCAGTGTTGTTTTCTGCCTTTGCTCATACCAGGCTTCCTCATCATGCATGGCCCATAAAAACTTTATATCTACTGTGATTCATTTACTTAGTAACGAGTGCTCGCACTCCGCTTCTCTTCCCTTTGCCTGCTATTCACTTGCTCTGGTATTTGAGACTTCGTCTCCCCATGACTCTTCCACTACTGTGTTTTTCCTTCAACTGCATACCTACTAGAGGTTTAAGTCCTATAAAGTATAAAATTCAAGCTTATACAGGGCCTATACAGGAAGAGTTCAATGATCGGATTCTTTTGTAGAACACTTTGATAGGATAAAGCTTTGGAGGAACAAGATTGAGGTTAGGAAGATGGGGTAAAATTCCTCGTAGTGAGTGAGGTAAAAAGAAAGAGCTTTATATGAGAAAATAAATTCAATTACGACCTGGACAAAGGAAGGTTAGCGACCTGACCTCATCTTTGGATTATATCGTCGAGCCAGGGCTAGTAGATTGAGATCTTCCAATCCTTGATCTAGTACCAAATTTAGGGGTTGATTAGATGGACTCTTAATGTACAATCGAAACTGGAGAATGAAGTTTGTAACGGAATCAAAGCAAAAGTGGTACAACTTGATTCAATGACCCCCTAACCGTTTCAAGTGGGACTCTTACTACTCTAGTCTACCTTAAAGCTAGCCCGGGCATTCATTCGAATCCATCACTGGACTTATTCCGTGGGCGGGGTCGTAGTTTCTTCCTATAGGCTAGCCAATTACTCCCTTTGATCCGTCATTTTGGGCAGGAGATTGTGACCCAACAGATGGGACCTAAGCCGAAGAAGTCAGCCCAACCAGATCAAGTGGTAGAGGCTGGATATTCAAAAGAAAGTGTTTGGTATTACGTGTAAAGCCCTACTTCCTTAGAAAGTCGGTCAGCTTGCTTCTTTTTTACCTGTATTTGAGTCTAGTTTAACTCGGCGGGGCTCAGAAGCGCAGGCTATGGCTAGTACGCTCCTAAGTGTATATAATAGTAGTTCGGCCAAGCTTAAGCAGGCATAGGCCTTAGCCTTAGGAGCTCAGCTCGAAGAAAGAAATTAAGGTTTCTATTGACTCATCAAAAGGTGCAATTTTGACAGAGGTTGAAGCCTTCCCATAACAAAGAAAGTCTTCGTCTAAGCCAGCCAGGGTAAGTGGTGGTCAGTTGCCCCCACTACCATATGAGTTGGTCGGAAAGGCAGATAGCCAAGCCAGAGGTGACGGGAGAAAAGCAAGGCAAGGGCTTAGCCCGAGCACGGAAGACAAAGCAAATCGAGATGAAAAAATCAAAGTATAAAATCGGAGCTTGGATTGCACGTGGAATAGGGTCCTTCGTAACAAGGAAAGTCCTAGCCTTTCTTGTACCTTCACGAGAGCAAGTAAGCATTGGATGTTGTGACGGTGGCTGAGAATGACGCAATGATGTTTGAGGTGGAACGATGGATGTAGCTTCAACCGGAAGAGATAAGTCGACAACAAGAGGAAGGCTTAGTACACTCTCATAAGTCGATGTAGATGATGGCGGCGACACCGTTGGAGAAGGCACCGTTGGAGTTGGTGTAGCATCAATTTCGACAGTAGAGGACGACTGTATGAGTAACACGGAAGTAGATGTCATTAAATTAAGGCATCATAAGAAGGGACCGTGGTTGAGGAAGCGGCGGGCTGAAGAGGAGAAAGAGGAAGATGCACCTCACTCGAGCGACTCGGTTAACTAATTTTCTCATCCAACAATAAGGACTGATTTTCATCCAACAGTCTGGAGTTCTTTTCAGACAAAAGATTCAGGGGATTGATTGGAATCCACGAGTCTGGATTGATTTTCATCCTTCTATCTGTTCTCGAACAGGTATCTAATCGTATCTAAGCGTCTTAATAGGATAGTACTGAGTTGAGCCCGTGTGTTCGCCCGAATGCTGTGAGTCAGGAGTTGTATCTAGGCAAGAGCCCTCTATCTATTCTTCTCTTCTTACTACAAGTCTGATTCCTCCTATTCTTCTTACTAGGGCGTAGTTAGAGTAGATTTAGATTCCGCTAATTGGAGTTCAACTAGAAGAAATACCTGCAATAAAGAAGATGGCCTCACTACCTGCATTAATCAAGTAGTCATTCCCTGCTTTAGAGAATCAAAGCGGAATCCATACCTATTTTAAAGAAAGTGGAGGAGATCTCTTTCTGTGATTTTTCTTGTTGTCTTACTAAGTCCCCAGTGTAAATAACGAATAGCGAAACCAGTCTTTTTCTTCTTGTATTTTGAGTTGGCAATCTTTGTTATCCCCTCCAATTCTTGTTAAGTATTGGTTTCCTTTTTCTTTTTAGTTCTTTCGGTCTTTGTTAGAGGGTAGGTGAGTGTCGTTTCTCCCTCCTTCACGGGTATAGTATCTAATCCTCTCTCTCCTTTCTGACTCCCGGGGTGGGCTTAGGAATCTGGTTACTGCATGGCATCTATGTCCTCATTGTAAATAAAAAGAGAGTTCTATCTAAGTGGCCTACGTATGGGGGAGATAAAGGTTTTTCAAAACCGTTTGGGCTATCAAATAAGCAGCATTCTTATCAAACATTGGACCCAACTTATTATTGTCGTTTATAGCGGTGAATTACACCCTTTGTCATAAAGACCACTTACTTGAAGGAAAGGCCAGCTCCTCACTCATTTATTTGACAAATGCTTTCCCGTTACCCGCTTACCCAGTTTCTATGTACACAACCTTTCCTTTGAAAAAAACATCCAGTCTAACTATAAAGCTTCTTGTCACAAAAGCCTATTCCCTGCTCATTAATGACCACACCTTCTATTCAATGGCTTCCCTATTTACTAAGAGGCTTCCATGCATAGCCTTTCTTTTGTTGAGTTGCATATTTCTGCAACAGGATAAAGGAAACCGATTGATAAACTTGCATGAGGCTGGCTATTCACTCACTTTTTTTTGCTAATGTGCAGCGGCGAGAAGCCAACTGGTTGTTGGATTGACCTATGGTGTGTTCTGGCGAAGCGCCGGGTTGTTGGTAAGGAGCGTGAGCGGGTGAGGGCTCACACAAGGAAGGACCCCCATAGGGCCTTTTTGAAGTGTGGCCCACACACACGGCCAGGGGAAAGGAATGGTGAAAATAGTTTACCATTTCTTTCTCCGCGTATTGGTGTGAGCAAATGCTATCCGTGACTTGATTAGCGAGGAAAGTGTTTCCATAAAGGTAGATAGGTTTATCTTCTTTTCCTCATCCATTTGACTTAAGATCTTTGTGATTGTCAACTTCTTCTTCCATAGTTTAAGAGGTGCTCTAGTCTCTATTGTACCTTTTGTTCTCTATTTCCTTGTTGGAGAGCGTGAACTTCTCTCTTTCCCTGCTATTGCCCTAAGTGAAGGACCATATTACCTCAATAAGACTTCCTACCTTCCCAAGCAATTCTAACTCTAGGCTCTCCTCTAGTTCTTTTAATAGTTATATCGTTTTATCTTCCTCCAGATAGAAAGTGGAGAGCTTTAAGTAGCCATGCCATGAAACAAAACCCTGTCAAAGGCCGATGCTTAGCTTTGTAAATCGTGAGTTTAAAGGCCCGTACAGGGGATCACTTATCGAACCTGGTGAACCGGGCTACGTAATAAAGGTACTTTTGGCGACGTCTTCTTTCGCACAAGAGATAAACTTTCCTTTAGCCGAACGTTTAGTATATAAAGTTTAATAATCTGCCTTCCTTAGTGATTACACTAAGTAATTACATAACCTTGCTGATTCAACAAGATCTTCAGAAGAAACAGCTGATTATTCTACTACTGATGGAACCTCTGATCTTGCGTCTATTGAGTCCTCAATTGCTACATTTCCACTCAGTTACGAAACATCAAGTTAAGCTATTTTTCGCTCCCAGAGCTAGTTGAAGAAGACTCACTACTTAAGAGTGGAATCCCAAGCCAAGCAAGACCAACTTAGTTCAACTAAGCACCTACGTGAATGGCCTAACGATACGAATTTGCACAACTACCGATAGCCAGCCTACTTACCAGAAGAAGGATCTCTTTCTCACAGCACCTGCGCAAGAAAGAATGCGCCTGCTACCGCTAACGAAACAGAAACTCTCGTGATATGGAGGTTTAGATTCAGTCAATACTTTAGCCTAGTCTAGAGGTTAATTAGCCAAATAAGCATTTGATCGAGATGAAGCAGCAGCAGTTTCTTCTGAGTTCGGTTATGTTTCATCGGCTTCAGTTGATTCTATTTCTTCTGTTGATAATCGGGTTAGCTTCACAACACCAAAGAGATACGTTTTGTAAGGTTGTGAAGCTTCTTACTTGGTAGTTATCCCCAACAATGAGTTGTCGTTGATCCAGTAGTGACATGAAATAGAGACACGAGTGGAGCAAACAGAGGATGCTACTTCATAGAGAGGAGAGAAACAAGTAGGCTTAGTCAAGTCAAGTTGTAGTTAGCGCGTAGCCACATTACGGCTTAACTGACTACACTACTTGCGTTAAAGGGGCATGTTCGAGTGATGTCTCGTGTTATCCGCTCCACTGGGGACTAAATAGTCAACCAACAACAAGGAGGGCTACTGGTGTCTTGTAGGCGGCTGCTTACAGAAAGCAAAAAGTGGGTGTAGGGTTGCCTCCGATAATGCAAGCAATTTACCTGAATTTATTAAAGGTGATGTAGAGGGACGTAGGGTGTCAATCATAGCAAAGGTTCTGGTACGGTAAATGACAGCAAGCACTTAATCCGGTATTTCATAATATTCCCATATTGCATACAAGATATTTATAAATAAGAGTTAGCTAGTGAGGTAGCTTGGAGGCAGCAATCAGCTTCGGTTTCACAGTCCAGGGACTAAGGAGAGGTTGGGGGGCATGATGGAGCTTCAGTCTGCAAACCCACTTTTCTTAACAATTACAGTGTATGTTGGTGGTTGCCAGTGGAAGAACAAGTCTTGGCGTCAGGTCGCTTCCTCTATTATCTGATACTACTTCCCGAAGCCCGCCCTTGCTTTTGCTGGTTCAAGGTCGGCTTCTTAATGATAAGAACAACCCCGTCGTATATGAGAATTGAATCTCGTACGGCTCATCAAGCAGAAAGACAAAAATGCTGGTCAAAGCCTCTAACTACTTCGCATTGCGAATCTTTGCTTATCCATTTGACTTTGCCCATTTGAATTGCATATATCAATGTGTCTGGCTAGCTCAAAAAGATGATCTCTTAGCACCTGTTCACTATATATAATAGGCTACCTATTTCCTTCATCCTGAATGAACTTGGCTAGCTCAAGATTCATCTTCTTATCTGTAGGCAGATATTTCTAGGTCTGTTCCCAAACTAGCCCTTGTTCAAGGGGCAAGGTTAAGATCTCTATGGAATAGCGATCAATTAGCCTGTCTAATCTTTCCTTTCTTAAGTAGACTTGATTGACTACACTCTTTTGATCTTTCCTCGTCTCGTTTCTAGACTTCCATTTTTCTTTCTTTACACCTTTTTCAAGGTCTACCAAGACAGAGAAAGATGAACCAAGACATCAGCTTTATTCTTCTTCTTATACATCCTTCCATAGAAAAAGGATGTAATGATCCAAGTCTATCCTGACCTAGTGAGGGAAATCGGGGTTAGTAGTCAATCATGAGGACTTTTGTTCAAGGCACTTTATGTTAAGTAGGCTAGGCTATATAAGAATGTATTCTATGGGCAGCTAGACGAAGAGCGTATTAGAGAGATAGATAAGCAAGGAAAAGGGATGGAAGCTAGGAGAAGATGGAAAATGAAACTGGATGTACTTTCTCCTTTGATAGCTAGATGGTTTCCCGTTAGTTTCGGGAATGGTTTACCTGAAAGATGTAGCTAACTTTAGTGTTCTAGCATGCTATGATGAATTATATCAAATAGGAGCTCTCAAGTGAGAGCTATAGAAGATAAGGAGGACAGGTTAGAATAGATTCGATTGTAGCTCTCTTCTTTAATCTTCCTTCCAGGGCTCTCTCTAAAGCCTTTCAACGATACTTTCTAGAGGTTAAGCTAGCCCTCTCCAATTATAGGTTCATTTGAGGATGTCTTCGGCTTAAAGAAAGATGGGCATAGAAGCCGTTTATCTCAAGGATCCTTGTGGTTCAGCTCTTCATGGGAATCAAAGAAAGCTTATTAGGCGAGCTGAGGCTCATTGTGGAGGTCAAGCCGTACAGCTGGGCAAGTACAAGTATAAGTAGAAGTGGGCGTGATGGTCAAAGTGATGTTTCTTCTTTTTCGAGGTAAGTAACCGCACGGGGTTAGCAGTGAAAGAGTTCCCCCATATAAGTATAAGTGAAAAGCCCTTTTGCCTGCTGTCTTCTAATTGAAAACGTGGTACCCACGGGAAGCACACTTCACCAGAGTTCGGCGGAGCCCAGCTATGAACTACAAATGCGTAAGTGAGTTGAGCAGAGTGAAGATGTGACTTCTTACCCGCGAAGGCTTGGATCCTCGGCAAATGCCCATTGGTAATTAAGATCGGAGTAGTTCGTGGAACTTGTTTTCCATCTGTCTTTGCCTTTAACTTCTATACAAGATTTTTTGCCGTACGAATGCCCTCCTCGGCTGATGATCAATGAAAATAGGGTGGAACTAGCAGATCTCGCTCAAACTAGAAATTTCATAAGAGAATTTCATTATTAACTATGCGCCCAGCGAACTACTTAATGAAAACAAGTCGTACGAGCACTGAGAAGAGCTTCAAGGTAGAACCTATGAACGTAGATTGCATATAGTGTGTCGATCTCATCACCTTACCAACCAGGGCGTATGTATATGAAACTGGTGCACCACCTGCCATTCAGTCAAGGACCTATGCTTCTTTGTCAACAACAGGAACGGGAACCAAACCACCAATTGAGAAGACCACAACGTTAGGTAATGAGTCAGACGTAGCCTTATAGATAGATAGTAGGTCTTCTTTAGCGAGAATCAAGTATAACTCTTCTTAAACGAGGGCTTGCTGCTGCTGCCAATAAAGCGAAGTCATTTATTTGAAGTTGTTCACTTACTGGAGGCAGGCTTGCCTTTACCGAGCCAAATTACCCTGATCCGAGCATAGCGGGGTTCCTCGTCATAACTCTACTCTAACTGTCTTTGGCAGGTACGGGACAACTATCAATTCACCTATTCACTTAGTTGCCAGGTACGAACACCCATGAGATGAGAGCACCCCCCTATAACTATTAACTATATATCCCTCGAAAAGGACTCTTATTAGGCCATACCCCTTTTTAGTAGCCTACCTACCCTCTTTTCAATGACGCCAACTCGACGAACACCCTTTCGGTCTCGCTCGAAGTCTTGTCCGTGAGTCCTCTCTATGCCTCTCATGCCCTTCTTTGCTTCGCTTGGGGCTCACTAGCACATTCCTTGCTGTTTTCGTGCTTGATGGCTTCTAATGAACCAATGATAGAGATCCTTAGCTTCCCTAACAGCTGCTGTTCAATTCGTCCCTAAGCTTCTACTGGATGTCATATCGGGCATTCAGTCTTCAGGTTCAGAATGCGTCAAAAGAAGACCTTCGCCCTGATAGCCTCTTCTCGGTACTCAACTGCTGGGTTTTTTGGTTCCTGCCTGAGCAGTTGTTCAAAAGAGAGATGGTCAAATCTTTTATATCAAAGTGATGTTCCAAGGTGAAGAACTGATATATATATAGTCATATTGGCCTCTCGCACAGCCAGACTTTGAGTTTGCTTTATTGATTCATGGAATAAAGGTTCTCTCCCAAACTAAATTCCTTTAAAGGACAGCTCTTTCCCTGCCTTTTTCTTGGCCACAACCACAGCTACGACTAGTAGTATTCATAGGGTCCTTTGATCGCATTCTTTGCCGCTGAAGAGTCTGATCCCCTTCTTGGGAAAGCAGTGGAACTAATAGTTGGCCTAGCTGGCACTTTATGCTAATCAAACTAGAAGTGAAAGTCAAGTTCTTTGAGTTGAATAGATGATGACTGGACACAACGGAACTCTTCCTCTATAATAGGGGACGGGGTCATTGACTCAATTCAATTTCTTTAAGGAAGGGCGATACTCTAATAGCTGAAGGGCGGTCCTTTTCATCTCTAACTCGAATGTTTGAGCTAATGTAACGACAGTTTCTAGTAGTTGGAGTTGCCTTGATGTCAGAAAGGTGTCCAGTTCAGAAGGTGTGAAAGAATGGCTATTTTCTTGCTCGTGTCTTGGCCACAGCTACTGCTACTGCTCGTAGTCATAGGAAGAGCTCATAATCTCATAATTGCTAGCTCGAATTATCTCTCAATTTCTTTCTGTCTGTAGGACCGGCTAACCAATGAGATAGACCAGTTTCAAACTCAAGCTTGCCATTCAGAGGAGTTTATCCTGTCCCGTGCATTCCCTTACATAATCTGTAGAGTCATTCTGTCCACCATGAAATATAGCCTGACAGTAGTCGAACCTGGTTCACCTTTTTGATTAGTCAACTTCGATCAAGGAAGTCAAAAATCAATTGACCGAGTAATAATCAGCAATCAGTAGTGCTGCTAGCTTGAGGGTTCTCAATCCTATTCTATTGAAGACCGGAGCATCCGTCCCCACCAGCCGAAGGAGAGGAATAAAACCTAGCATGGAATAATGGTAAGAAAGGAATCCTTATCCTGCCCTGGGAAGGATTTTCTCTTTTTTCGGTCATGGCGAACCAATCGATGGATTTCCATCATAGCTACCCGAACTTTCTAAATAGATCGGATTCTTATTCCTTTCTCCTTAGCCGAGAAGAGCCATTCTTTGCTACATTTTTTCCCAATAAAACGAAACTTTGATTGTTCAGATCTCCCCGTTAGTAAAGAAAAATGGATTGCAACAAAAAATACGGGGAAAATGAAACTTTCACTTTGAGATCTACTCTTATTAGTGAAAAAGCTCTTGCTACAGTTTTTCCCGGGAAAATGAACTTTGATCGTTCAGATCTCACTTTTTCTGAACTAACTTCGGTGAAATGCCAAAAACACCGTGTTTCCTAGTTCGATATCCTTTTTCTGTCAGTCACCGGTCGAAATCTGTCTTTAGGCAAAAATACGCGGTTTCATAGCTATAGCTCGATCTTACTACGGGACTTTCTGGATGTTTAAGTATCCCACTAAGCCAGTCTGTCTGCTAGCCCAGAGTGGAGGAGAGAGATCCAATTAGCTTACTTTGAACTCTTCCTATCCGAGTAGTTCCTATCCCAGTAGGTAGTAGGAAGCCAAGTAAGGATAAGAGATAGATCCTACGGTTAGGACTGACTGGAAGGTTATAGAAGACAAAAACGATGGATGTCCTAAGTGACAATGCCATCGAAAAATATACTCTTTATTCGGACTAGCACACGAGGGCGTTAAGCACCTATCTTACTAATACTAATAAGAAGAAAGGTTTGGAACCCGGATAGAGAATATCTTACCTGTAGGACTGACCATGAACTTCCTTACCTCACTTGCGGTTCTCTAAGGTCTTCCAAAAGGCTTCTTGAAGGTTAGGTTAGAAAAAGAAAGATAAGAATAGAATGGATGAGGTAGTTCTTTCTTTCCTCCTACTGGTAGGGTTAGATCAAGATAGACTGCGTTAGAAGCCATTAGAAGTAGCCCACTCTTGCTATTAGCTCCGAAGTTTGGCATTCGTGAGGACTTAGATCCTATCGCGAGTCTTGATACATAGTATCTTCAGTCCTTTCCACACCTCCTAATTGGATTCCCCATCGGCCCATCCAATCTAATTCATGACTCAGTCAGTAGACACTACACTAGTAGGGTAAGTCAGGTAATTAGGAATGATTTTGAGTCCTTCCTAAAACCCTTCCTTGGATCCTAGGAGCAAGGATTTACAGTCCTTTAGAACAACCTTTTGATCCCAAGATTTCCAATCCTTACTTTTGTATTTTTGAATCTCACATTTGAATATGACAATCCAAGACGACCTATTGGAAAGGGAACAACACCGGCGGACACGAACTATTATTGGCAACGGGCAAACGACGCTTACGTGAGATCTCGGTTCCTTCTTTTGAAAGAATAGAAGTTTCATTCGAGTTGTTATCATGCCGATCAAAAAAGTAAAAAGCTGTACTAAGAGCCAGCGGACCTGCTCATGGGAGTCAAGCCTGCTCTGTAGTGGGCAGACAGTAGCAGGGCCATCTAAAAGAATATAGGAAAAAGAGCCGCTGGAGAAAACCAATTTAGTTGGGTTCTCAATTCCATGGAGTATGCAGTGAGTTTGAATTGACCCGGTTAGCTAGAAAGTTCCTTTCGCTACCGTCCTAAGGTTCCCAGATATTATGGATTTCTAGGGACTTTTTCTTCTTTTTTTTGTCTATTTTCTTTAACCAACGAGAGGTCTACAGAAAACATATAATCTTATATTTGATAGCTTACTATGT